TAATCTTCTTCACATCCATAGTTGTGTCTTTTTATGCCTAATTTTGTTTATTTTTATCTTTTTATCTATATTTGACTACCTAGTTACCTATCATGTTTTGTTTTCCCTAAAAGAAGCCTAGATTTATTTATTGATAGTCTTGTATTTTTTTAATTTCTAATCTATTTATTTCTGCTTTAATCTTTGTTAATTCCTTCCTTTTACTTTCTTTAGGTAATAGTATTGATAATAATAATAGCAGCTGCTATTATTGAGTAACTATAATATGTGAGACCCTGACTCACCAGGGCACACAAGCACTCAATAACTTAAAGGTAGATACGACCATCACCATTTCACAGATGAGGAAACCGAGGCACAGACAGGTTACTAACAACAACAACTTGCAAATATCATTTTTTCTTATTTAATAAGAAACTGTTTAAGGCAATGAATTTTCTCTTAAGTATAGCTTTAAATACAACCCATGGGTTTTTATGTATAATATTATAAATGTCATTACTTTATAAATATTCTATAACTGCAGCTTTGATTTCTTCTTTGGCCCAACAGCCAATTTAAAAAGGAACACAGCTTATGAACAAAACGTTTACACAAATAAATACAAGTAATCCTTGAATATATGAAGAGATTCCCAACATGATTCATAATAAGATTGTTGTAAATTTAAACTACTCTAAAATATAATTTTCACCTATTAGATTGGCAAAAATCCAAGTGTTTGACAATGCATTCTGTTAAAGAGGCTTTGGAGAAATAAGCACTCTCATACATTGCTGATGAAAGTTCAAATTTATACAGCCCCTATAAAGGGCAATTTGGCATTATCTATTAAAATACAAAGGCATTTGTTTTGACCTGGCTATCTCACTTCTGGGAAACTATCTAAATCCATACAAATTTACCTCTGTACAAGGTTATTCATTGAAGCATTATTTGTGATACCAAAAGATTGGCAATGGTCACTAATTTAATAGGGGACCTATTGGCCGGCCCGGTGGCGCACTGCTACAGTGCGCCGCTTGGGAAGCGCAGCCGCGCTCCCGCCAAGGGTTCGGATCCCACATACAGACCGGCCACTCACTGGCTGAGCGAGGTGCAGGGGCAACACCGAGGGTTGCAATCCCGTTGCCGGTCCCAGTCCGGTACGGGCACGACACTGAGGGTTGCGATCCGTTGCCGGTCACAAAAAAAGAGACAAAAAGGAAAAAAAAAAAAATAGGGGACCTATTAAATAAATTATTTCACATCCATGCAATGGAATACTATGAGCAGTAAAAGGAATTAAGCCACTCTCTATATACTAACATGGAAAGATTTCTAAGATATTGTTAAGGGAAGCAAGTTACAGAATAATATATTCTATAGAGAGCTATAGAAATAGGAAGAAATAATATATATTATGATTTATACATCTTTACATCTGTTATATATGTGTGTGTGTGTGTGTGTGTGTGTGTGTGTGTGTGTGTGTGTGTGTGTGTGTTTTAAATGGTTGAGTTAGAACCTGAAAGTCTGGGCTTTTGTTTGGGGAGAGGGCGGGTATTTGGGTGTTGCTTCATTTTGCTGTGCTTTGCTTTAAAGGTCCAAGATTATTCTGATGTAGCAGGTCCACAGAATACCACTGATCTACCATGCCATCAATTTCTGTAAATATCCCATAGGCACTTATAAAGAAGCAGAAATCTGTTACAGGATCAATGTTTGATTGTTAGATATAAAAATAGATACATGTAAAGATAAATATATATAATTGACATAAATAATATTAAAGAGATTATCTATACACTTTTATATATTACCCTTGTATTGATCTATCAAGTGATGAGTGTGTTAAAAATCTACCACTACCACTGTATCCTGTGAATTTCTCCATATTTTAATCACTACATACATGTGCATATATATATTATACTATGTTATAATATATACTATTAACAATATAAAGCTTCATAAGATATTTTCATTGTGGATTTTACCTTTTATGAATGGATAATAGCCCTCTTTATCACACTGATTGCTTTTTCCTTGAATTCTACTTTTCTGTATTAATATTGCCAACCATGCTTTCTTTTTGTATTTGATGTAACTTTTTCTTGATACTTTTCTTTTTAAATATTCTGAGTTACTTTCTTTAATAAAATATAAGGACTTAGTTTGTGGGATTGTTTTGGAGAAATGACCCAAACTGAGAATATTTGCTGTATAATAATGGAATTTAACTCACTTATATTTATTACCATCACATATGTATTTACTTCTATCACATTTATTTATTTATGATTCCTTTATTTTCTTTTTCTATATGTGTGTTTTCTTTGTCTTCCTTTATTATTTGGAATTTTTTTTTCTACTAGTGATTTTATATCTAAGAAATACTGAATCTTCATCAAAATATGTCCAGCTATTAGTTTCTTTTCATTAATTTGGCTGTTATGTGTGAATCATTTTAATCTGCAGATTTAAGTCTTCAATCAGTTTAAGAACATCAATTATCCACATGTTTAATTCCTGCTCAGTATCCTCCATATTTGTCATAATCTCGCTCAATGTTTTAAAGTTCTGTTTTCATTTGAATTACGTGAGAGCTTCCTAAGCTTATTCTCCATATTACTAACTGCATTTTCTACAAATTAGATTCTGATTTTTACTGCTTCTCAAAGCATTTAAAATTATTCCTTTGGGCCATTTTTAGTTTTCTTCTATTATCTCCTTTACTTTACCAGCAACTTTCTCATCTCATTCTGTTGCCTTATTCTCTCTTTTGCCTTTTCTTTCGTAGTGTTTTTTTTTTTTTCTAGAAGTTTGAAGAAAATACAAAGTTAACAAATATCTCGATTTTACCTGGCTTTCTGTAGTACATACTTTTCAAAACTCTCTTATTTCTCCAGCTAGTTTATGCCTTTTTAGATATGGAATCTTTTTGTTCATAGACCTCTGAGGTTTTTATCTTTTTTCTTCTTCTTCTTTATCCCCAAACTTGAAAAAGAAGAAATCTACACAGACTTATTATTTGTCTTCTAACTGTGGGTAGATTCTTCTTGGCTGTTCTCACGGCACATACAGAGGCTGTTAGAATACTCTTCTCAGATTTTAGGCTGGAGAGCTAGTTGTTATAAATGTGGGACATCAATTAAATAATCCAGAAGCCTATGGGGAATGAGGAAGAAGCTGGGATGGTAGTCACTGCCAGCAGGGGAATGTCACTCTGGATAATTTCTTCTTTGTGTCTGGTAAAGCTGCTAAGCTATGGAGCCAATTTTTTATGTCTGGTTTCCAATTTGGCATGGCAATCACTCCAAGTACATGATGTGACTGTCCAACTTCCTAGCTGGTGTATGGTTTCTCTCTGCCACCCCACCCACAGGCTTTCTATTCCAGAGAGGCACATTTGAGCTTGCCCCTGGGCTCCCCAAGGCACTGGTTTCAAATGTTGACCCAAAACAACAAAAACAATTCTATGTAGAAAGTCCCCTGACCATTCCAAAGCTATCTCTCACTCCTAGAGTAGAGAATTCTTCCAGAATCTCCAGTGTCACATATTCCCACACTACACTGCTTTCTAAGGAACCGGAGCTGGGGTTCAACTCTCAATATCACCTACACTTTAGTCCTAACTACCCCATTAAAAACAAAAACAAAAATCAAAACGTGTGTTATATGCCTGGCATCTTTCTCCAGGTTTCAGTCCTGATGCAGCATTTCAGGTAAGAAATAGAATTTTAAAAGGGGAGTTAGAGCCTTGTGTTCACTTGTCATCTTACTAAGAAATTCTACCCAGTCTTGGTCCGATTTTTACTATAAAAAGAAGCAATTTTCCTTACAGAAGTTCGTCTAACTAGAAATCCCATTTGGAGATGGGATCCAGGTATTACCCCTCAGAAGATTGGCTCTCGCTATTTAATTGACTCTTCCGTGCCTTGCAAATATGATTTCTAGCCAGGTGAACTTCTGTAAAGAAAACTGCCTCCTTTCTTTACAGAAAAAGCAAACCAAGACTGGATGGGTGCTGACAACTCCCTCAAACCCCACCCCCACCTCTCCCTAAGCAGGATTATGTGTCCTTATTCCCTCCCATACTTATCAAAAATTGTGGGCAGAAAAAAATGTTACTGCTCTTTTCCAAATACCTTCAAGAACTTCCAACTAGATTCAACAAATATGGACTGAGAACTTGACAGGTTCATAGCACTCTGCTAAGCACCCAGCACCTGGCCTCCCTGTCTTCACCCCCCAACCAGGGACAGAGATAAGTAAGACACAGACTCCTTCGTGCTCCCATAGCATCCTGCACATGCTGCTAAAATAATACCTGATTCACATAAAAATTCTGTTTTCCTCCCTCGCTAGACTGTAAGCCTTTAGACAACAGGGACCAAGTCTCAGTCATCATTGTATCCCCAGTACTTATCACAGCTCCTGGCACAAAGGAGGTTTTACAAAACAAGTTAGTAGAACCAAACAGAACCAAACAGTTCCAGCTCCTGCCCTTGAGAAGGTCACAATCCAGAGAGAGGGGCCCTGGCTTCAGCTATAAATCAGTAGTCCAATTTCAGAGAACCCAGCACACGTAACATGTTTTGGTATCTATCTTCCCCAGCTAGATGTACACCACAGGCAGCATTCTGGCTAACCCTCTCCCGGGATTTGGAGTTGTGTCTCAGCAGGATGAGCCACCCTGAGCCTCCCCTACTTTGTCTTCCCATCTTCCTCAGAGCCATGGGCTCTCACAATAAAGAGAGGCAGGTAGGGTTGTGGTCTAGGTGACCTTGACACCAGGATACCATGCTCACTGCCACAGCCAGCCAGCTGGTGGGAACAGCTGGGTCTCCCTGCCTGGCAACTTCAAACATAGCCCCAAGATTCCAGCAGATCTGTCCCCCGCCCCCCTCCCCCAGCACACCCAGACCAGACTGGTCAGACGGGTATTTCTGGGTCCTTGACCACTCCTGGCAGCCTGCCTGGAAGAGGCATGGCCTCCAACAGTGCAGCAGCCCCACCTGAGGATGATCCGAAGGTACTCAATCCCCTCGGCTTCCTCGCACTTGACCGACAGGATCAAGTTCCCCAGGCTGCTGCCAGTACAGTAGAAGTTGAGATGATCCTAGAAATAGAAATCAGGTGTGAGCGGGAAGGAGGAAACCCTCCAGACATGTCCCCAAAACCACCTCCTGCACCAGGAGAAGCCCCACAGCCTCAAGGAAGAGAAGGATGCTACTGCTGCAGCTGCTACTGACGACAAAGTGAGCTAACTAGCCAACCCTTACTGATGGGCATCATCTTTTTTTTTTTTGGTGGCTGGTTGGTAGGGGGATTCGAACCTGTGACCTCAGCGTTGCCAGCACCATGCTCTCCCAAGTGAGCTCACTGGCCAGCCCCATCATCATATAAATAAGTACCGACTGCCAAGTCCTCAGGATGTGCCTGGCACTGTGCTAAGAGCTTAAAACCTATTATCCCCTTTAATCCTGACCACACCTTTCTGTGAGAGATAACAGGTGGGGAAACCAGTGTTCAGGGAGGTTAAAAAAACACCCGAGGTCACACAACCTGTCAGTGACAGATCCAGCGTTCAAGCCCACGTCTGTCTTACTCTGAAGCTTGAGTTCTTCACCACAATATCCTGAGTTCTCTTTCTTACTCCCAGGGGGTGGCCCTCCCCAATTCAGACCATCTGCAGGAAGAAAGCTAGGGGGAGCCCGGGCAACCCCATCTGAGGGGAGCTGCTCGGGGAGCACAGGCAAACAACACAGCTTCCTGGAGCCCGCCCCAGACCTGACAAATCCGGCCGGGGTCCTGGAATCTGCATTTTAACAAGATCCCAGGGGTTTCTGCGCAGCCTCTTCCCTGTCACTCTGCAAAGCTGCATTAGGCTAGAGATTTCCAGAATCTGCTCTCAGGATTTTGGGAATCTGGTTAGTCTGAAGGGCAGAATGTATTTAAAGAAATGAAACTTTGTCACTTTAAGCAATCAGAGGTTCACAGCACACCTTCCAGTACAAGTACTCAGGGGACCTGCCTGAATGAGGACATGAGAGATTTGCAGGATTTAAATGAAAACAAAGACTTCCAAAGTGTGAGAACACTTTTTTCCTTGAACAGCTAAAACTCCACCCCACCCTCCTTCACCCTGAACACTATCCTTTCCATCACCTCCTAAAACACTTGCTGTGGGTCGTCCCCTCAAGGACCCATCCCATCAAGCCTCCCTGACTTCTGGCACTGTTCCCCTGCTCCCTACCCCCAGGACAGGGCCAGTCAGACACCCCAACTAAGACAGAGGCAGGCAGAAAGGAAGGGGGGCACTGGAGAGAGGACTGCTGGGCTCCCCGGTGCACTCCCTCCTCTGGCGGCTCTTGTGTCCCGGGGCCCTCAGCCTCACCTTCCCTAGGAAGTGCCTGCGGTAGGCCCTGGCTTCGCCCTTGCACTCGAGCTTGTAGCCGAAGGTGTTGGGGCTGAGGTTGTCCTCTTCCTCCTCCTCACAGATGCTGCTGCCCAGTGACGTTGGTGTGCCCACGTTCTCCGGGTCCTCAATCCAGTAGCCCCCAAACTGGGGCAGGATGATGAGAGGGTACGGGCCTCCCTTCTCTACAACCTGGAGGCAGAGGGAGGGTCTGCACTGCAGCCCACCCAGGGAATGCAGGGAGGAGGGATGCCCGTGGTGGTGTCCCTCCCCCACCTCTGAACAGCTCCAAGGAGGGAGCCTGGTACCTGAGGCCAAAGGCAGTCACATGACCCCCTCCTTTAAGCCCCATAACATCTCCAGTTTCACTGAGGGACGCTGTAACCCCAGAGTTGTAAGGCCCGAATGGGCACTCCCAGTTTAAACATGGAAACACTGAGGTCATGAAGGCAAAGGCAGGAAGAGACCTCAGGCCCTCGAGTCCCAGGCCCAAGGTGCTCTCCCATGTGGAGCTGGGGAGGGCCCATCACCATCACCTCCCCAGCAACTGGACCAAGAGCAGGCTGCAGTGCGACCAGCAAGGCCCTACCTCGTCGATGCTGGGGTATGGGATATAGTCATCCTGCAAGACAAGCCAGACGACGCCACTGTCAGTGCCAGCAGTGCCCATAAAACCTGATCACTGTTTCTCTTTCCCTCTCCCAGGTTTGTGGGGGGGGCGCTGAGCTGAGGGGCCTAGCAGGCTGCACCAGGGCTCTGGGGGAAGAACACCAGATGCAAGGCAGCTCTGGGATCCAACATCCCTTGAGCTCTTCTCGAAACAGATAGAACCCGAACACAAACCCTGCTAGCCGAAGATACAGTATAAAAAGGTGCTGAATCCCCACCCAAGTGATACTAGCTTCTCAGGCTAGGGTGCTAGAACAGGAAGGTGACCCCTCATCTCACCCAGCTCCCCTCTCCAGGCAAGGAGGCTGACCGCCAAGTGACGATCTGCACCGCCGGGCATTGGAAACTGAGAGCTGACTGCCCACTGGAGCTGGGGCCCAGATCCAACACCCTTCAACACTATGCAGGAGGAGCTAGGCCAGGCCTGAGGTCCCAGCAAGGCCTCTGCCCTAGCCTGCTCTGAAGCTGCCTTAATGGCCCACCACACCCCAGTGTAATAAGGGCGCAGTCACTTCAATGGCTCTTGGTGAAAATCAGACAGGTGGGAGGTAGAAGACCCCAGCACATGGATGCTCCTCCTGCCTCCTCTCTCACCCTGGCCCCCCCGCCAGCCCACCTGGCTGCCCCCTCACCCACCCAGCCCACCTTGTTCTTCTGGGGTCCCGGCTTCTGCTCTTCAAGCTTGATCCCCTGTGGGAACAAGGAAAAGAGGTTCGTGGAAAAGCAAAGGTCATAAAAAAGGGGCCAAACAGAGGAATCTCCTGAGCTCCTGGCCTTGCCGCGGGTTAGTGATGATAACAGCAACAATGGCTGGCATGTGCTCGGCCCTTAGCACCATGCACCTGGTCACTGTCAGTCCTCCCAGCAGCCCCAGCCGAGGTAGCAGAGTGGCTGGGTTAAGAGCATGGACTCCAGCCAGGTCACTGGGGTTCAGATCCCAACACTGCCATTTACTAGTCTTACAACCTTAGGCAAATCACTAAAACTTCTCTGTGGCTCAGTGTTCTCATCTGTAAAATGGGAATGATGATGGTGCCTACTGTTGTGGTGAAGGTTAAAGGTTAACAATGGGTTAAGCACTTGGAACACTGATTAGGATATAGTAAATGCTATGGATTATTATTGTCATGAGATAGGCTGCTTTATCATCCTGGGACTTAAATACGAGTATCTTCCCTAAGGCAGGTGAGGGGGAAAAATGTCAACCTTGTCATTGGTGTCAGAGCCAGCACTCTGGACCTCATGCCAACCAGCTCCACCCTCTCCCTGGTGGGAGGGCCTGGGGGCCACAGGCAGGAGACCTGGTCCTGGTCCTCATTCTGCTGCAAGCTTATTATTTGTGACCCTTGACACAGTTTAGCCTCTTGGAGCCTCCTCCATAGCTTCATCTGCAAAATGAGGATTATAACACTCACCCTCCCACCTCACAGCTGCAGGGATTATTACCAAGGACAGGACACAATGGCTAGGACTGGACTAAGGGGTCCACCTACGAGTATCTGGAAAATTCAGTTCTGGGGAGCAGTGCCTCATCCAGCAGTCCTGTAGTCCAGTTCTGACTTAACTGGGTTGTGGGAGAGAACACGTGGCATTCCCAAGACTGTGCGAATAAATCAGGTGAGGCTGTGAGATGGTGGGACAGACCAGGAGGAAAGTTCCCCTCCAGAGAGGAGAGAGTCCGCAACAGCCCCCACCTAGCCACGACACTAATGCACTGGAATTTTAACCTTCCGAGGTGAGCTCCCTCTGTGGTTTCATTTGAAGCTCACAGCACCTTTTCACCTGTGAGGAAACTGAAGCCCCAGGAGGAGGTTGCTTACCTAAGGTCGCTAGTGAGTGGCAGGGCCTGGATGTGAAGCTGGGTCATCTGCCCACCAAGTGCATGACCACACCTCCCAACTCCTTGAACACCAAGGTCCTGCTAACCCAGTGGATTTAAACGTGGCTTCTCCATACTTCTCTGGGCTGAGTCACCTGTGACACTGTTCAGGAGAGCGTGGGAGGGCCCCTCCCACTAGACAGGTGCTCCTCTCAAACACAGGGAGAAATATACCTGGGTGGCCCTGCAGACCCTGTCCAGGTTGGCAAACTGGGCAGATGGGGGGTGGAGGGAGTGAGGTCAGGAGTTTATTTTGTTTGTCCTGCATTAGTCACCCCTGTCTGGGAAAAGCCCCTGGGGCAGGAGAGCAAACCTCCTCCCATCCCTCTGCCGTGCCACTCCCTCCCCCACAGCAGAGCCACTGCTCAGCACTGGGCCCTCTCTCCTCTGTGTGTTAATCCTTTGCAACAGATATTATCATTATTTCACCTTCTCCACCAGTGAAGAAACTGAGGCTCAGAGAGGGACAGTGACTGGACCAAAGATATTCCCCTAGAAAGCATCAGGGCTAGAATCTGAACCCAGGACTGAAGGGATCCAACGCTGTGCACTTAGCTCCTCCTGCTTCACAGGGATTGTGCCCTTCTGCAGACGCTTAGACTCCTGGGCTGAAAATCAGGAGTCCCGGATCCTAGTTTCAGCTCTTCACAACTAGCAGAGTGAACGGGGCACTTACTGCCCCAATGCTCCATTTACACACCTGCGGGATGAGGAGAGACGGAGCCCACACTCTAGGACAGGTGCAGTGCGCTTCGTCACTGTGGGCTCCCCACATGGAGTTCGGACACACAGAGTCTCCAGGAACTGTGAGTCCTCTGGGACTGGGGCCCCTGGGCACACGGTAGGGACTTAAACACTGGGGAGTTTGGCTTCAACGGTCTCAACTGAGATGGAATCAGCAAACCACCGTGGGTGTCAGCCATTGTGGAGATACAGAGAAAGAATGAAAACAAGACCCCTGCCCTCAAGAGGCTCCCAATCTAGTTGGGAAGGCAACAGGCCAGGCAGCCTCAAAACAACAGAACAATATGAGTTAAGTGGGGCTGCATTATGTGCTCAAACATTGAAGCCCTTTGCAGGGGAGGCAGGGGACTCCAGCTAGGGGTGAAGGATGGGTGGATTGGGGAGCAACCAGAGAGAAGGCAGGGTGAGCCGCAAATCCCCTGCCGCCTCCCCAGAGTGCAGACCCCAGTGGCTTGTGGTGAAAATCCCAGCTTTGCTCCAAGCCGCTGAGCACTTAATGATACACTGTCTCCCACCACTCACTGTCTCCACTCATGCCTTCCTGGTTTCCGCAACTTGATTATGACTTCCTTAAGTGTGTGCAGAATGAGTTTGTAGTTCACACACTGCTGGGCACAGAGAAGAATTTATAAATTGCTCATGGTAATGACACCACCACTAATATTATTTTTCCTTCAAACAGTCCCTCCCCTGTCCCACCCTCTGGGAGACCAGGCAGCTTCACCAGCATCTCAGGATGGCTGTGGGCACCCCTCCTCCTAGAGCTTTCAGACCATTATTACAGAATCTTCCTTCCTTAGCCTGGAGCATCCCCTTAGGGTAAAAAGTATCATAATGCAATGGCTAAGCCCTCTGGCTCTGAAGCTACTTACCAGCCATGCACCCCGAAGTGCTTTATTCAATAGCTCTGTGCCTCAGTGTTCCCATCTGTGACATGGGGTTACTAACAATATACCTACTTCCGAAGGCCTTGTTAGGAAGAAGTAATGCCTGTCAATCTCTGAGCCCACAGAAGCGATTGAAATATGTGTGCCATTATCAGGATCTTCTTCCCTGTCTTTCCACCCATGTCAATTAAACCTTCTGAAACCCTGCACATATTCCCCAGGACAGCAGCTCTACCTGTGAGCCCTGACCCTCGTGAGGAGTCATCATAAAGGACCCCCAAATCCACACTTAACACTGACTCTTATGTAGTGCCTACCAAGTTTTTACATATATTACCACATTTCATCCCAACTACCGTGTAAGTGGGTATTTTTATTCTTACTTATTTACAGAGGCTTAGAAAAGGTAAGGAACTTGCTCTCTTAAGGTTTTGGTGCAGGATCTGAACTTAGGTCTGCCTCCCAACCCACTGCTCTGCCTCCCCAACACAACGGCTCCCCTAAGAAGGGGCTTGCTTTCTCCGGCTTTCTTTCCAAATCATTCCAAGAACAGGCCCCTTCAAACCCTCCCCATACCCATGGGGTTTACAGCATCCCTGGCTGCTCTGCTGGGGAAGTTCTTCTTTTTATCCTCCATGTCCTTCAGATACAAGTTTCCCAAAGTGCTCTGTGCCACTCAACAGCAAAATGACCTCAGGTTGTCTGGGCCAAGGGGCCCCTCCCTCCAAGGCCCCCAAGTTCTGCTGTGGGTTCTGCCTGGCATTGAGTTCCCCGAGATCCCTGCAGCCCCTGCACCTGAGGCTCAGCTTCTTGCCTGTTCTGGGGGTGCTCACCTGCATCTTCTCCAGCATCTCGAAGAACTCCGCTGACTGCAAGACATAATGAGGGTGGGGAGAGAAAGATGTGCTGAGAAAGCCTCTTCCTCACCAATTATCTGGAAGCTGAGCCCAGGGTTTCCCCAGGGACAAAATTCATTTGGATCAAGAGAGAAGATAATTTGATTTGGCCTCTGCAGGGCTGGAAGGCCAGGACACCCCATATAACAAAAGAGAAAATAAAACATGCCTGGGCTGTCAAATGGCCCTGGGAAGAGCAGCCACTCAGTCTCTGTCAAGCAAGGAGGCCTGTGGGACCCCCAGAAAAGTCAAGTTCCTCAAAATGCCTGTCAGCCCCAGGATTCAGCCTCCAGCAGAATTCATGTTTGGGAGGTTTTCAACCCAGCCGTGGAGGCTAGATGTCCAACACAGGTAGCTTTCCACCTTCTGTGGCGACACGGCCCATCTGTCTCCTCATACAAAGTCTCACTCAGAGAATCCCTGTAAAACCAGTAAAAGCAAAGCCACTACAGGCAGAGCAGCCACGGGCACTTGAGCCCCTGAGGTGCCACCTCTGCCTGCCTCAGTCCCCAGCCCTGAAGGCACAATTGTGGGACCCTAGAGTTTGTGAAACAAAGCCTGAAAACCACTGAACTACAGCCTCCAGGGGCCTGGGAGGATTATTTTTTAAATCTCAGACTGTATTTGTTCAAACCTATAACCTACTTTGGTTCCCCCTTTTTTTTTTTTTTTTTGTACCCGGTTTACACCCCCAGGTACAGATAAACAGGAGAAAGAGGAAGTGGATGGATGGGTGAGGGGCTGGAAGCTATCCCTAACAAAACGCTGCAAAGGTCCATCAGAAGTCCCCACTTCCCATTCCATGAAATCTGCTGCACTTTCTTGTACTAACATCACTGCCCACATCTGGGCACTGGCAAGCCATGAGTTAATGAGTGCCCAGAACAGACAATCCCCAGATGAATAGGAGAGGAAAGAAAACAGAGATGAGGCGGAATGCATCTGTCCTTGTGGCTTCACACAGAGGTAGAGCCTCCAAACCCTCCCCCTTCCTATGAAGGCACCAATGGGCCAGAACTGCCTGGAGCCCCACTGCTCTCAGAATTCTCAGAACCACCATGGGAAGGACCCCTGTGGAGTCACCTGGGGAGACCCAGCCCTGCTACAGACTCCAAACAACCTCTGTCAGGCCAAAGCTGACCTGTCAGAGGCTTTTTGACCAGCAAAAAGCCTCTGACCTACCAGCAGTTCAGTATCTAGGATCTGGAAACCCCACATGCAAATGTACAGGGGTGGTCCTGGGGCACCCACATCCAACACCCTTGACCAGAAGCAGCCACCAAACACCCGGATCCCAAACCTGCCCTTCCTACTTGCTCTGGGTACAAATGCACCATCCACATGGTGCAGTCTTATCAACTCCAGTCTCTCCAGACTAAGATTACCAGACATAAAGAGCTTATACAAATCATTTAGAACAGAAAGACAAGCAGAGAGAGGATGGGGGAAGAGAAGGGGGAGCAGAAACAGCATTTTAAATACACAGACTTCTGACCCAGTAATTCCCATTCTAGCAATCGATGCTCTGAACACACTTGCACCTGTACACAGAGATAGATACACTAAAATGTTCATTGCAGCATTGTTTGTAATAGTAAAAAATAGAAACAACTTCAATGTCAATCTACAGAAAGCTGGTTAGAGCAGGCTACAGCTACACTCACAGAATAAAATACAAATACTATAAACAACTGTATGTCAATAAATTAGACAACTTAGATGAAATGAACAAATTCCTAGAAAAACACAGGCTACCAAAACTGACTCTGAAAGAAATAGAAAATCTAAAAAGACATCTAACAAATAAAAAGATTGAATTAATGATCAAAAACTACCCACAAAGAAAAGCCCTGGCCCAGATGGCTTCATTTGTAAATTCTACCAAATATTTAAAGAAAGAATTAATACTAATTCCTCACATTCACTATCAAGAAAGTGAAAAGAAACCATGGACTAGAGAAAGTACTTACAAATCATATAACTGATAAGGGACTTCTATCTAGAATATACATATAAAAAGCCCATATAATAATAAAAAGACAATTCAATTTACAAATGGGCAAAGGATCTAAATACACATTTTCCCAGAGAAGATATACAAATGGCTAATAAGCACATGAAAAGACACTCAGCATCATTAGTCATCAGGAAATGCAAGTCAAAACCTCAGTGAGATACTGATCATACCACTAAGTTAGCTATTATCAAGAAACAGAAAATAGCAAGTGTTGACGAACACCTGCAGAAATTGGAACGCTGGTATATTGCTGATAGAAATGTAGAATGGTGCAGCAGATGTGGAAAATAATTTGGCAGTTCCTCAAAAAGTTAAACAGAGTTGCCACATAACCCAGAAATTCTGCTCCTAAATATATACCCAAAATAACTGAAAACAGGTACTCAAAAAAATACTTGTACACAAATGTTCACAGCAACACTATTTGCACTTGCCGAAAGGTGGAAACAACCCAAATGTCCATCAACTGATGAATGGATACACAAAAGGTGGTATATTCGGACAATGGAACTGTATTCAGCCATAAAAAATAATGAAGTAATGATACATGCTACAACATAGATGAACCTTAAAAACATCATCTAAGTGAAAGAAGGTAGACATAAAAGACCACATGTTGTATGATTCCATTTATATGAAACGTCCAGAAAAGGCAAATCCATAGACAGAAAGTAGATTAGTGGTTATTCAGGACTGAGGGGAATGGTGAATTGGGGGGTGATTTTTGAGGTGACAAAAATGTTCCAAAATTGATTGTGGTGATGGTTACACAACTCTGTAAATATATCAAAAACCACTGAATTGTACATTTAAACGGGTGACTTTGGAGTATGTAAATTATACCTTAATAAAGCTATTCAAAAAAAACTATACAACCATTCAAAAAGAAAGCGACACATTCATATTGCTTACATAAGACGCTCTCCAAGACATATTAAGTTGGGGTAGGGAGCATATCAGAGACCAGCAAATTGAATACAATCTCACTTTTTAAAAAAAAAACCCTGGGGCCGGCCCGGTGGCGCACTGGATAGTGCACCGCTTGGGAAGCGCGGCGGCGCTCCCGTCCGGGGGTTCGGATCCCACATACAGACCGGCTCCCGCTCACTGGCTGAGCGAGGCGCGGGAGCAACACCGAGGCTTGCAATCCCGTTGCCGGTCCCCGGTCCGGTACGGGGGCAACACTGAGGGTTGCGATCCGTTGCCGGACACGGAAAAAAGACAAAAGACAAAAAAAAAAAAAAAAACCCTAAGAACAAAACCTAAAGCTAGCTATATGTATATATATAAGTGCATAGAAAATGATCTGGAAAAATATACCTTGAACTATCAAAAAGTGATCATATCAAGAAGGGGGGATGAGTGTGGTGGAAAGGTTTATGCTTTACATTCAGTCTACTTCCCAAATAGGTAGACCCACATGACTTGCATAATCAAACTTGAGATAAATACAAGGGGTCTTCAAAAAGCTCCTGGAAAGACTTGTATTATCTTTCAATTTCATTTTTCTGCAAACTTCTTGAAGGATGCTTTGTAAACACATCTTGCAAGGGAAACAGAAAAATGTGCAAAGGACATGAGCAAATTGCTGAAGGAGAAACATAACGTGACCAATAAACACACGGGCACATGCCCAACCTCCCCAGTTATTAAAGAAATTAAGATGATGATAAGATAACCTCGTTCATCTACCAGATTGGCCAATGTGAGCAAACATGTGGGGTCAAGGACACAGGAACTGTAGGTTAAGTGTGTACATGATACAGTCTTTCTAAAGGGTAATTTGGCACCATGTGTCCAAAGCCTTTAAAACATTCACATCCTTTGGTCCAAAAACTCACTCTAGGGAATTTACCCTGAAGCAGTATTTGGGCAACAGCACAAGGACACATAGACAAGGATGCTTGTCACAGCATTGTTTATAAGCAATAAAGTGAAAACGAAGTACCCACCAGCAAGGGAAGGAGTAAATAACTCACGGGAGTACGCCCGCATAATAAAATACTACGAGAGGAGATCTGTGTTAATTATGCCAGAACAAAGATTCACAACACACTGCTAAGGGACAAAAATAGGGTTTAGAACAAGATGATGCCTTTTTTTTTCAATTAAACACAAAATACATGTTGGTGTATACAAGTGTAGGGCTGCATATGAGAACACATATCCACCCTCCAGAGAAAAGTAACTTAAAGGGTACATGCCACATGAAGTAGATTGAGGATGGTTTTTTTCTTCCCCTTTTTGCTTTTCGGAATTTAAAATTTTTTCTACAACAACTATAAATTATTTTTGCAATTAATCAATGTTTTTAAGACTTCAACACATAAGCGAAGGCTCTAGCAGCCCTTTCTTTGCTTACCCCAACTCTAGGTACAGGGCAGGGGTGTGTCCAGGGACACAAGTACATAGCCTTGGGTGCCTGCAGAAAGCCTCTGGATTCAGGCCAATTCATTCTGGAGTGTATCTTTGGCTCTGAATATTATAGACTAAGAGGCTCTCCTGAATCACCCCCAAATCCAGCTCACTCTGTTATCCATTTAAGTCGGCAATCAAAAAATTCTTTAGGTGTATTCTTAGGCAATGCCCTTCAAACAGTTAACCCCAACAGATGAAGCACCTTCAAGGCATGGACTGGACACCAGAAGTACCAGGCAAGGGCCTGACTTTCAGGATACTGCATCTTAATTATGAGACAAAGCTGTCCAGGTAGGTTATGTGACAGATGACCAGTGTAACCAGGGTTCTGAGGAGGCACGAAACACTTCTTGCTGGGAGGTCAAACATAGATCTCTATTGTTGAGTAACAAATTACTCCAAAGTTTAGTAGCTCAGAATAATTTCTTTGGATCAGGAATTCGGGAGTGGCTTAGCTGTGCAGTTCTGGCTCAGGGTTTCTCACGTGTTGCAGTCAAGACGTCATCAGGGACTGTGGAGATGGCACATTCAAGTGGAT